GAAAACCACATACTGTGCACTTGTAGAAACTTGTTCGGTCAAGAAAATTTTTTCCATCCTGCTCCTCTGAATTTTTTGTCACTGTAGTCAGAAAATGAATATCGATTTGACCCCACTAATGATTAAAAAAACAACCAAACTTTCTTAGAACATTCTTTTCCTAAGAACCGTTGTTCAAAATTCTACCCTGACCTGACTTTTCTCTTTAGCACTTATTATTAGCACATTATTGCCTGGCCAGCTCCCCACCACCAGCTTGTGATTGGATGGAGAAGGAGCAACAGCAGACAGATGAGGTCATCTCACCTCCCCACCCCCAGCCTGTGAGAAGGAGCAACAGCAGATGGATGAGGTCATCTCAACTCCACACCCCCAACCTGTGAGAAGGAGCAACATCAGATGGATGAGGTCATCTCACCTCCACACCCCCAACCTGTGATTGGACAGAGAAGGAGCAACAGCAGATGGATGAGGTCATCCCACCTCCCCACCCCAACATGTGATTGGACAGAGAAGGAGCAACAACAGATGGATGAGGTCATCCCATCTCCCCACCCCAACATGTGATTGGACAGAGAAGGAGCAACAGCAGATGGATGAGGTCATCTCACCTCCCCACCCCAGTATTGATTGGACAGAGAAGGAGCAACAGCAGACGGATAAGGTCATCTCACCTTCCCACCCCCAGCCTGTGAGAAGGAGCAACAGCAGATGGATGAGGTCATCCAACCTCCCCAACCCCCAGCCTGTGATTGGACAGAGAAGGAGCAACAGCAAATTGATGAGGTCATCTCACCTCCCCACCCCCAGCCTGGGAGAAGGAGCAACAGCAGATGGATGAGGTCATCTCACCTCCACACCCCCAACCTGTGATTGGACAAAGAAGGCGCAACAGCAGACGGATAAGGCCATCTCACTTACCCACCCCCAGCCTGTGAGAAGTACCAACAGCAGATGGATGAGGTCATCCAACCTCCCCAACCCCCAGGCTGTGATTGGACAGAGAAGGAGCAACAGCAGATGGATGAGGTCATCCCATCTCCCCACCCCAACATGTGATTGGACAGTGAAGGAGCAACAGCAGACGGATAAGGTCATCTCACTTACCCACCCCCAGCCTGTGAGAAGTAGCAACAGCAGATGGATGAGGTCATCCAACCTCCCCAACCCCCAGCCTGTGATTGGACAGAGAAGGAGCAACAGCAAATGGATGAGGTCATCTCACCTCCTCACCCCCCAGCCTGTGATTGGACAGAGAAGGAACAACAGCAGGCGGATGACATCATCTCGCTGTCCAGACCTCCAGTCCGAGCATGCTGCATTGCCTGGTTAGCTCTGACCCTCCCTGTCCCAGTTCTAATATACCAGAGATAACTGAAAGCTGTTATCATGACAGATATGGTGTTTATCTCAACTGCGTTTAAAAATAAATTATTTTGTAATGATGAAATATTTGAATTTAATGGTGTTTTTCTGAACTCTGCCTGGAGATCGGCTTATAATAGGGGAGATGTATGGTAAATTGCCTCTGTGGACACAGTCCCTCTCCTTATTAATCTTCCTGTTTAGACAGAAGACAGTGACAGATCTCCTCCCTGTAGCCCAGAGAAGGCAGAACTCTTTGATGAAGGAGTTTGCTTTGGGCTCCGGCCAACCACTCCATAGGCAGAGACAATGCTTGTGGAATATTACTGCAATGTGCTTGAATTAAAGAAGCAGTGACCCTTTGTACATGGTGATGGCTCTACGTCGGTGATCTCCCTCTATAACAACAATAAAGCAAAAGCAAGCCACCAAAAATGACACTAATTGTTAATGTCATAAGCACCTCTCCGACTCACTTATACAAGTGTGGATACATAAACCCAGGGGACAGCATACTAAACAATATGATAGTGTGACAAGAACACGCCTATCTGAAAAAGAAGGTTTCTAAAAGATCCACGCGGAGTAGTATGAATTCAAATGAATTTAACAATACTTTATTTGATCACATAGATCATGGGGAGGTTAAACATGAGCACGGTGTACATATGAAAAAAATAAAATCATGTTTAAAAACACTTAGCGTCTTCAATTTTGGGTCATCTTAGCCAACAGAGCACCATATAAGGCAGAGTAGTGTAATGATGGGATAGTTATCCTGGATTTCCGTAGGTTTCCTGCTTAATATTTGTGTGAACCGTATATTCAGTGGGTGTGTTCCCAGTATATGTCAGGGACCTCCTGGAATGTACAAGCTGGAACACAAAAATACATGGTATGTATCTAGCAATATGGAAACCAAATCACATCCAAAATTTACCAGGCCTCCCTCCACAATAGTCAATGGATACTGCTGTTACCTTCTCAGAGGTGAGACTATCATACCCGCCTCTCAAATGTAGGGACTTCCTGGATAGCCACCCCAAATGGAACAAGGTCCGCAGTACCAAATGATTCTGAGGATATACATAGAAAAAGATAATAAATGTGTAGATCATGGGCATCAGGTAACCCCGAAAACAAAACACACATAGAGATGTGGATATATTACCATCAACGAGGATCAAGAAGACTCCTGTCGACTTGAACTAAGATCAGGTCCTTGATGCTTTTCCAAAAATGCATATGGGGGTGAGGGACCAGGTATACACGATGCGTGGATTTCAAACACATATAGTGTGTATATAGCATATAGCAGGCCGTAGATACCTGAATTTAATATACCCAGTAAAGGGTTTCCAAAAATTGCTCAATTTGAGAAGGTTATTTGCGGTTTTATAAGGATGTGGCTATGTCACAGCAAAAAAATACCTGAATAGGATAGCGTATATATATATATATATATATATATATATATATATATACAGTCATGGCCGAAATTGTTGGCACCCTTGATATTTTTCCTGAAAATCAAGTATTTCACACAAAAAAGGTATTGCATTAACACATGTTTTGCTATACACATGTTTATTCCCTTTGTATGTATTGGAACAAATATAAAACAGAGGCAGAAAAGCAAATATGACATAATGTCACACAAAACCCCAAAAATGGGCTGGACAAAAGTATTGGCACCCTTAACTTAATATTTGGTTGCACACCCTTTGGAAAACATAACTGAAATCAGTCGCTTCCTATAACCATCAATAAGCTTCTGACACCTCTCACCCGGAATTTTGGACCACTCTTCCTTTGCAAACAGCTCCAGGTCTCTCTTATTGGAAGGACACCTTTTCCCAACAGCAATTTTAAGATCTCTCCACAGGTGTTCAATGGGATTTAGATCTGGGCTCATTGCTGGCCACTTCAGAACTCTCCAGCGCTTCTTTGCCATCCATTTCTGAGTGCTTTTTGACGTATGTTTGGGGTCATTGTCCTGCTGGAAGACCCAGGATCTTGGACGCAAACCCAGCTTTCTGACACTGGGCCCTACAGTGCGACCCAAAATCCTTTGGTAATCCTCAGATTTCATGATGCCTTGCACACAGTCAAGGCACCCAGTGCCAGAGGCAGCAAAACAACCCCAAAACATCATTGAACCTCCACCATATTTTACCGTAGGTACTGTGTTTTGTTCTTTGTAGGCCTCATTCCGTTTTCGGTAAACAGTAGAATGATGTGCTTTACCGAAAAGCTCTATCTTGGTCTCATCTGTCCACAAGACGTTTTCCCAGAAGGCTTTTGGCTTACTCAAGTACATTTTGGCAAACTGTAGTCTTGCTTTTTTATGTCTCTGTGTCAGCAGTGGGGTCCTCCTGGGTCTCCTGCCATAGCGTTTCATTTCATTTAAATGTCGACGGATAGTTCGCGCTGACACTGATGCTCCCTGAGCCTGCAGGACAGCTTGAATGTCTTTGGAACATGTTTGGGGCTGCTTATCCACCATCCGGACTATTCTGCGTTGCAATCTTTCATCAATTTTCCTCATCCGTCCACGACCAGGGAGATTAGCTACAGTGCCATGGGTTGCAAACTTCTTGATAATGTTGCGCACTGTGGACAAAGGCAAATCTAGTTCTCTGGAGATGGACTTGTAACCTTGAGATTGTTGATATTTTGCCACAATTTTGGTTCTCAGGTCCTCAGACAGTTCTCGTCTCCTCTTTCTGTTGTCCATGCTTAGTGTGGCACAGACAGACACACAATGCAAAGGTTAAGTGAACGTCTCTCCTTTTTATCTGCTTTCAGGTGTGATTTCTATATTGCCCACACCTGTTACTTGCCCCAGGTGAGTTTACAGGAGCATCACATGCTTGTAACATTCTTATTTATCCGCAGTTGTGAAAGGGTGCCAATACTTTTGTCCAGCCCATTTTTGGAGGTTTGTGTGACATTATGTCGAATTTGCTTTCTTTCCTCCCTTTTTTTGTTTTGTCCCAATACACACAAAGGGAATAAACATGTGTATAGCAAAACATGTGTTAATGCAATACGTTTCGTGAGAAATACATGATTTCCTGGAGAAATATCAAGGGTGCCAACAATTTCGGCCATGACTGTATATATATGTGTAGATTGTCCTCCTGAGAGGATTTCCAAAAAATTCCCCGAGTATACAGGGTAAATTAGGCCCATACAACATGCCCTATGAACACCATGTAGGCTCTGTAAATCTCAACAGCCGTAAGCTTTAAATAACTTGCCACCGGTGGAAGATATGTTTCCCTGAGGGATTGCCGTTTGCGAACCGCTGTGATAATAGCCCACTGGTAGTTCTCAAAAGGTCTTGGGCCTACCTAACAGGGAGCTGTGACACCGCCGTTCCTTCCCGCCTCGTGGGCGCCGCACCCTGTGAAGACGCCGAGCGTAGTGACGTCAATACGTTGACGCGTTTCGTCCGCCAATCACCGCAGACTTCGTCAGATCTCCCTCTATACCCCAGCTTGGTGACCCGGGGTCATTTCTATTCTCCTTCGAGTGATTGTGAGCTTAGCGGAAAGTGTACGCCAGCAATGAACAAACTCCCAGCATTCCACTTGCTTTTCGATGATTACAGCTTACTTCAATCCTTTCAGCAGTTTGCAAAAAATTGTAACTGTAAAGTATGTTACCAATTAAAGGAAAATTTTAACTGCACAGCTAGAACTGATTTTGTTTTAGTGTTACTAAACCCCGGACCCTGCATTCACTATATCCGGTCTCTCCAGACCCTGCATTCACTATATCCGGTCTCCCCGGACCCTGCATTCACTATATCTGGTCTCCCCGGACCCTGCATTCACTATATTCGGTCTCCCTAGAACCTGCATTCACTATATCCGCTCTCCCCGGACCCTGCATTCATTATATCCGCTCTCCCCGGTCCCTGCATTCATTATATTCGCTCTCCCCGGAACCTGCATTCACTATATCCGCTCTCCCCGGACCCTGCATTCATTATATCCGCTCTCCCCGGACCCTGCATTCACTATATCAGGTCTCCCCGGACCCTGCATTCATTATATCCGGTCTCCCCGGACCCTGCATTCACTATATCTGGTCTCCCCGGACCCTGCATTCATTATATCCGCTCTCTCTGGACCCTGCATTCACTATATCAGGTCTCTCCGGACCCTGCATTCACTATATCAGGTCTCCCCGGACCCTGCATTCACTATATCCGGTCTCCCGGGACCCTGCATTCACTATATCCGGTCTCCCCGGACCCTGCATTCACTATATCCGGTCTCCCCGGACCCTGCATTCACTATATCTGGTCTCCCAGGACCCTGCATTCACTATACCTGGTCTCCCCGCACCCTGCATTCACTATATCCGGTCTCCCCGGACCCTGCATTCATTATATCCGGTCTCCTCGGACCCTGCATTCACTATATCCGGTCTCCCCGGACCCTGCATTCACTATATCCGGTCTCCCCGGACCCTGCATTCACTATATCTGCTCTCCCCGGACCCTGCATTCACTATATCCGCTCTCCCCGGACCCTGCATTCACTATATCCGGTCTCCCCGGACCCTGCATTCACTATATCTGCTCTCCCTGGACCCTGCATTCACTATATCTGGTCTTCCAGGACCCTGCATTCACTATATCCGCTCTCCCCGGACCCTGCATTCACTATATCCGGTCTCCCCGGACCCTGCATTCACTATATCTGGTGTCCCCGGACCCTGCATTCACTATATCTGGTGTCCCCGGACCCTGCATTCACTATATCTGATCTCCCCAACCCTGTATTCACTATATTCGGTCTCCTAGGACCCTGCATTCACTATATCTGCTCTCCCCGGACCCTGCATTCACTATATCTGGTCTCCCACAGAACATGGAAATGTAATTATTTTAATAAATGTAAACTGCTAAATACCTTTTCTTATCAGCAGTATGTAGCAATCTTGTGACTTCTATCAATATCCAGCAGAGCACTGGTTAAAGCATGTAGGAGGAGTTTTCATTCTCCTCTGACTGTCCTATGAGGCTGCATGTGAACCCGGTGAAATGGCTGTTAACCACTTTCCCTCCAGAGGATTTCCCCACCTTCCTGACCAGGCCATTTTTTGTGATACGGCGCTGCGTTACTTTAACTGACAATTGCGCCGTCATGCAACGCTGCACCCAAATGAAATTTACGTCCTATTTTTCCCACAGATAGAGCTTTCTTTCTATGGTATTTGATTGCCTCTGTGGTTTTTATTTTTTGCGCTATAAACAAAAAAAGACCAACAATTTTGAAAAAAACTATATTTTTGACTTTTTTATATTAAACATGTCCAGTAAAAAAAATGTAGGCCAACATGTATTCTGCTCCGTTTCTTTGCTAAAAAAAATTCCCAGTACGTGTAAATTAATTGGTTTACATGAAAGTTATAGCATTTACAAATGGCGGTATAAATACTGGGATTTTTTTTGTTACTAGTAATACCGGCGATCAGCGACTTATAGTGGGACTGCTGCAGGCATTCTGACACTGGGGGGGGGACTGACTTGGTGTTATGATCCGCCAGGTGGTGCCTCAGGCTGCCAACTGACAGACCTACTCAGAGCGTGGGGTCTAAGCCTGGGCTGTGCTTTCACCAGAGCCCCTGATGGTGGGTATGGACTTGAAACAGTCCCGGGCCAGGTCACGACCTCCGAGCAGGCCCGCCAGTGGCTGAGGAGACCTTTGGGGACAGGTACCGGGAGAGCCAGATATGAAGAGGATGGCGGCCCCAGCAGGGTAGTAACGGATCGTGGGCCCGTGAGGGTAAGCGGGGTACAGAATCGGTAGGCGAGAGTAGTCGGGTCACACGCAGGGTCAGCAGGGAAGTCAATCCGTAGAATGGTCAGGGCAATCCGGGTCAAACGCAGGAGCAGGCAGAATAGTCAGGACAATCCGGGTCAAACGCAGGAGCAGGCAGAGTAGTCAGGACAATCTGGGTCAAACGCAGGAGCAGGCAGAATAGTCAGGGTCAATCAGGGTCACAAGATAGGTGCAGGAACTCAGGATCACAGGAAGACCTTGCGGCAATCTGTGACAGTGCAGGGCATCTTTAAATAGTGCGCCCTGCACTGTCATTGGCCGGCTAGGACGCGCCCCCCGGCTGTCATTGGACGCCTGAGGCGCGCCCGCGGCTCCTACTGCGCATGCGCGGCGTCCTGTCAGCCGCGGCTCGCCGGGACCTAGTGCCTGTGTCCCGGCGCGATCTGCCGCCAATGCGCATGCGCGAGGGACAGAGCCGCGATCGCGGACCATGGAGCCGCGATCCCTGACACTTGGTGTCACTGACATCCCCAGTGATACCAACACCGTGATCAGTGCTAATAAAAAGCACTTACACTGTACTAATGGCTCTGGGCAGGAAGGGGTTAACATGAGGGGTGATCAGTGTTTCACTGTAAGCATACTGCTATGCAGAGCTATACAAAGCAGTGTGCAGGAGCTGACAGGGGAGAGATCTATATTGTTTACACACAGGTCTCTCCCCTGTCGGAAATCCTCGGAGATCACCAGGTGCCGGCGGGGAATTATCTGCTGGGAATCATCGGCGGCGGGACCTGGTGATTGACAGCCGAGGCCGCGAATGGCAGTGCGAGTAGGAATCGCGCGCCCCTACCAGGAACTGCGAAGTCACATATATATATACAGTTGCAAGAAAAAGTATGTGAACCCCTTGGGATTACGTGGAGTTTTGCATGAATTGGGCATAAAATGTGCTCTGAACGTCATCTAAGTCACACCAATAGAAGAACACAGTCTGCTGAACATAATACTACACAAACATTAGATGTTGCCATGGTTTAATTGCACATGACATGTAAACATTCACAGTGCAGGGAGGAAAAAGTATGTGAGGCCCTAGCTTAATGACCTCTCCCAGAGCTAATTGGAGCCAGGAGTGAGCCAACCTTGACTCCAATCAGTGTGATGATATTGGATGTGTTGCTGACAGCTGTCCTGCCCTTAAAAAACACACACCTGTTTTGGGTTTACTGGTTTCAAGAAGCACTGTCTGATGTGAACCATGCCTCGCAGAAAAGAGCTCTCAGAAGACCTACGATCAAGAATTGTTGACTTGCATGAAGCTGGAAAGGGTTACAAAAGTATCTCCAAAAGCCTTGATGTTCATGTGTCCACGGTAAGACAGACTGTCTACAAATGGAGAAAGTATAGCACTGTTGCTACTTTCCCTAGGCGCGGTCGTCCTGTAAAAATGACTGCAAGAGCACAGCGCAGAATGCTGCATGAAGTAAAGAGGAATCCCAGAGTGTCAGCTAAAGACCTACAGAAATCTCTGGCACATGCTAACATTTTTGTTGACACATCTACAATAAGTAAAACATTAAACAAGAATGGAGTACATGGGAGGACACCACGGAGGAAGCCATTGCTGTCCAAAAAGAATATTGCAGCACGTTTGAAGTTTGCAAAAGAGCACCTGGATGTTCCACAGCACTACTGGCAAAATATACTGTGGACAGATGAAACCAAGATTGAGTTGTTTGGGAAGAACACACAACACTATGTGTGGAGAAAAAAAGGCACAGCACACCAACATCAAAACCTCATCCCCACTGTAAAACATGGAGGAGGGTGCATCATGGTTTGGGGCTGCTTTGCTGCCTCAGGGCCTGGACGGATTGTTGTCATTGATGGGAAAATGAATTCCAGAGTTTATCAAGACATTTTGCAGGAAAACGTACGACCATCTGTCCGCCAACTGAAGCTCCGCAGAGGATGGGTGATGCAACAGGACTATGACCCAAAGCATACAAGTCATTCAACAAAACAATGGCTGCAACAGCACGGAATACACCTTCTGGAGTGGCCCAGTCAGAGTCCTGACCTCAACCCAATTGAAATGCTGTGGCATGACCTTAAGAGAGCGATTCACACCAGACATCCCAAGAATATTGCTACACTGAAACAGTTTTGTGAAGAGGAGTGGTCCAAAATGACTCCAGATCGTTGTGCAGGTCTGATCTGCAACTACAGGAACCGTTTGGTTGAGGTTATTGCTGCCAAAGGAGGGTCAACCAGTTATTAAGTCCAAAGGTTCACATACTTTTTCCTCCCTGCACTCTGAATGTTTACATGTTATGTGCAATTAAACCATGGCAACATCTAATGTTTGTGTAGTATTATGTTCAGCAGACTGTGTTCTTCTATTGTTGTGACTTAGATGACGTTCAGAGCACATTTTATGCCCAATTCATGCAAAACTTCACGTAATCCCAAGGGGTTCACATACTTTTTCTTGCAACTGTACGTGATTTTGCGCACTCGTGCCACCCTGTAGCACAACCACATACCTGGTTAAATGTCAGCAGCTACAGTTTTTGTATTTATTTTTTTCACCAGAGACTGGAGCTCCACTTTAAGTCCAGAAAATAGTAAGCTTGACTTCAGATTTCCGGTATTACATCCAATAATTGTCCATTTTGTGATCTCCTTGGAGGTGGGGAGAAGTGCCTCTGGTGGTCTCCATGGTTTAATAAATAAGGGTCTGAACTCTTCTATTTATTACAGGAGAAAAATACCACCTTTGAGTCACCATCTGGCTAGCATTGCAGCGTTTTTTAACCTGCCCATAAAGTCGCACTTCCTGTATGTGAGCTGCTGAACACGCTTCTATTTCAGAGATAAGGTTCTCAAGTGGACAAACACTTCAGAGAGGCCTTTGGTGATAGCATTCATGGTTATCTGACTATTGGCTTTGGCCAAGAGTTTGTTTAGCTTCCTCTAGATAAGGGGTCTCCAAACTTTCTAAACAAAGGGCTGGTTTACTGTCCTTCAGACTTTAGGAGGGCCGGAGTGCCCAGTGGGAGTAGAAAATGTCCCGGCCTCGGTAGGAGTAAAAAAAAAATGACATAGTGCTTGCAGTCAATGGAAGGAGGAATAGTGCCCCATTATTGGTGTCAGGGGGAGGAATAGTGCACCATCATTGGTATTCGTGGAAAGACTAGTGCCCCATCATTGGTGTCAGGGGCAGGAATAGTGCCTCATCATTGGTGTCAGTGGGAGGAATAGTGCCCCATCATTGGTATTAGTGGAAAGACTAGTGCCCCATCATTGGTATTAATGAGAGGAATAGTGCCCCATCATCGGTATTAGTGAGAGGAATAGTGACCCATCATTGGTGTCAGGGGGAGTAATAGTACCCCATCCTTGGTTTCAGGGGGAGGCATAGTGCCCCATCCTTGGTGTCGGGGAGGAATAGTGCCCCATCATTGGTGTCAGGGGAAGGAATAGTGCCCCATCATTGGTGTTAGTGGAAGGAATAGTGCCCCATCATTGGTGTTATTGGGAGGAATAGTGCCCATCATTGGTGTCAGGGAGAGGAATAGTGCCCCATCATTGGTGTTATTGGGAGGAATAGTGCCCCATCATTGGTGTTATTGGGAGGACTAGTGCCCCATCATTGGTGTTATTGGGAGGAATAGTGCCCCATCATTGGTGTCAGGGAGAGGAATAGTG